TGCGCAGTGTTCCTTCACGTGGGCGGGTTCTGCTTCTGCGTGCGTCTTCCACTCATGGAAAATCATGGCGTTCATTTTACTGTATTAACCAAAATGCTATGATGAGTAAGTAAACTTGTGTCACCTTTCACAGCAAAGTGTATGTATGTCTGTGGGGTAAGTTCCTAAAAGCAAAATGTAGCTTTTATGTTCTTTCCAAGTTGAGAAATGCGGCCAAGTTGTCCTGCGTGGAGGGTGGACAAGTGCACATTCCCACCATCAAGGGGAGAAAGTGTGCCTTTTCCTGCACTTCAATTGACCTCTGTTCCCCGTCCCCTCCTCCGGTCTCTTTCCATATCCTTCTGCTTTCTCTCTTTTTGTCTCTCTGACTCTCAGTCTCCTTTTCTCCAGCACCCACAGCCCTGGAGAATGGCTCATCTCTTTCAGTCCTGGAGAGCCAGTCCTTGCGCCTGGTCTGTGTCGTCAACAGCAACCCCCCTGCCAGGCTGAGCTGGGCCCAGGGGCACCTGACCCTGTGCAGCCCGAACCCGGGGGTGCTGGAGCTGCCTCGGGTACAGCAGAGAGATGAAGGGGAATATACGTGCCGAGCTCAGAATGCAGTGGGCTCCCAGCACGTCTCCCTGAGCCTCTTGCTGCAGAGTGAGTGCATCTGTGGGGGTGGCTGGAGGAGAACAACAGCACCTGCCCCCCCCACCCCCCCCGGGGCTCCCCAGCTGCACCCCCTGGCCCTTAAAGGGGATCTCAGCTCTGGTCTGTGCTCCCCTGTGAGGCCTGGATTTTCCCTGCTACCTCCAGTATCACTGTCCTCTTCCAGCCAGACCCCAGCTGTAGGGTGGGGTGAAGGCTGAGAGGGGAAGCCAGGGGAAAGGGGTGGGTCTTGGAGGAGAGGGGCTGGGGCCTGCACAGGTGTGTCTGAGAACACAAGGTCCTTGATTTGTGGGGCAGGAAGGAGGCCACCATGGGCCCAAACTTTAAGGAGAAGCCAGGGTGCCTGTGTGGCTCAGTTAAGTGTCTGACTTGGGCTCAGGTCATGATCTCACGGTCCCTGGGTTTGAGCCTTGTGTCAGACTCCGTGCTGACAGCTCAGAGCCTGGAGCCCGCTTGGAACTCTGTGTCTCCCTCTCTCTTTGCCCCTCCCCCCCCAAAAATAAACATTAATGTTTTTAATTTAAGGAGAAGCCAAAAAACCTCAGTAATAGAAGTAATACTGCAACGCAGTATTTTTAAAAATATATACACGAACATAAAATAAATATCTCAATGGACAAAGTAACTGCATTTTAAATAAAGACAGGCTGCAATCCAGCCCCTGTATGCCTCACTCACCTGGTCCTAATCCCCTCCCCCAGCCCCAGGTCCCTGTGTTTTGAGGCTGGCAGGGGGGCTGGAAAAATCTAGGGTCCCACAGGGAGTGGGAGAAGATACCGAGTCCTTGGAGAGGAATCACCAATAATTCAATCTGTGTGCAGGAAAAGCATGGCCTTTATCAGAAAGGCTGCTGGGGGCAGTCGGGGGAGCAGGTGCAACGGCTCTGATCTTCCTGGTCCTCTGCATCATCATTATCCTGTGAGCATTGACCTTTGGGAGGGAGGGATAGCCCTGGGTGGGAAGGGCAGGCGAGCACAGGATGGAGGGACCTGGGTGGGTGAAGAATCTGAAGCAAGGGCAGGAAGGAGGTCGATGGCACCTGGGTGAGTCTGTCATGGAACTCTTGGGGCATCTGGGTGGCTCAGCTGGTTAAGCATCCGACTTTGGCTCAGGTCACGATCTTGTGGTCCGTGGGTTTGAGCCCCGTGTCGGGCTGTGTGCTGACAGCTGGGAGCCTGGAGCCTGCTTCAGATTCTGTGTCTCCCTCTCTCTCTGCCCCTCCCCCGTGCTCGCTCTCTCTCTCTCTCTCAAAAATAAATAAAGATTAAGAAAAAAATTAAAAAAAAAAAAAAGAGCTCTGTCCCCATTGTCCAGGATAGGAAGGCCTGCATTCTCAACACTAGGATCTCTAGAATGGGATCACCACTCTCCCACCTCCATCACCCTTCCAGCCCCTTAAGAGAGAATGGAGGAGGGGGTCAGTCTGCCCACAGCATGCTGAGCTGGCCAGACTGAAAGGCTTTCCGGTCTCTTCTTTCAGAGTGAGATCCCACAGGAAGAAAGTGACAAAGCCTTCAGTGGGCACCAAGAATACAGGCGTGGAGAGTGCAAACGTTGTCACGAGGTCAGTGTCTCAGGTGAGTGGCCTGGGCATCTTGACATCAAACATCCTGCCTGGATACCTATCCCAGGATGGCATTTAGAATTGCTCTACTGAGCATGGCCAAAGTTCCTCTCCTTATCTCCTCCTCCTCCTTGGGGATTCCCCATCTTTGGGACAGCATAACCACTCCCTCCTCTTTCTTTCCTGTCACCTTCTGTCTCTCCTCCCTGTCTTTCCTACAGCCCCAAATTCACATCTTGTCCATTTTTCCTCTTAAGGACAGCTAGCTTCGCCCCCTCTCTCTATCTTGACCCCCATCATTGCCAAGGATTCAGAATCTTTTTCCTGGACCTCCTCATCTCCTTGCCTCTTACCTTCCTTGTCCTACACCAAGCAGTCATCCAAAAGCCACCATTATCCAGTTCCTCTGCATTTAAACACCTGTTTGCCCCCAGTGTCTAAAGCAGAGGCTGGCAACTTTTTCTATCAAGGGCCAGATAGATACTTTTGGCTTTGCACACTTTACAGTCTGCTGTAACCACTCATGTCTGCTGTTGTAGAGTGAAAACAGCCATTGATCATATGCAAATGAATGAGCACAGCTGCGTTCCAATAAAACTTTATTTACGAACACAGGCAGTGGGCCATATTTGATTCATGGGCCATAGTTTGCGGACCCCTGACCTAGAGAATAAAGTCCAAACTCCTGCAGCCCTGCATATTCTGGCCTCTCGAGCACCTACCTCTCCAGAAGGACTAGGGTTAGGGTGAAGTGAAGAAGGCCCTTGCCCCAGATGCAAAACTTAAGGAGGTGCTCCAAAATCTCCGTAATCCAGATAAATAATGTTTTCGTGTACTATTTTTAAAAAAACAAAATTAAGGCAAAACATCCATGGTGACTAAAATATAAAAAAAATCTAAACAATGACAGGATCACTAGACTGAAGTTAGTTAGAAATTATTTAAGGGGCACCTAGGTGGCTCAGTCGGTTGAGCATCTAACTCTCGATTTTGCCTCAGGTCGTGATCTCACAGTTCGTGAGATTGAGCCCCGTGTTGGACTCTGCACTGATTCCAGAGTGCAGTTGGACTGCTTGGGATTCTCTCTTTCTCCCTCTGCCCCTCTCCCCTGCTCATGCACTCTCTCTCTTCAAAAGAAAAATTAGGGGCGCCTGGGTGGCGCAGTCGGTTAAGCGTCCGACTTCAGCCAGGTCACGATCTCGCAGTCCGTGGGTTCGAGCCCTGCGTCAGGCTCTGGGCTGATGGCTCAGAGCCTGGAGCCTGTTTCCGATTCTGTGTCTCCCTCTCTCTCTGCCCCTCCCCCGTTCATGCTCTGTCTCTCTCTGTCCCAAAAATAAAAAATAAAAGTTGAAAAAAACAAAAGAAAAATTAAAAAATTATCTAAGATCATAACTGAACCCAGAGAAATTGTCAAACATGGCAGTATTCTCAGTTGCAAATGAAAGGAGCAGAGAAGTTGATTTTGAAAATGTCCTCTCTGCATTTGCTTCCAGTAAAACCAGGAAAGCAAAATTATCATAAATTCTGGTTCGGGTATAAATAAAATATTTAAACTGAAAGTAATGTTTTATTACATGCATTCTTCAAGTTTGCAATAATATTTTAATTATTTTAATGTGGGTGAAAAACTGTTAGAAACACAAAAACATATATATATATGCTTGTGCTTATATATATGTGTGTGTGTGTGTGTGTGTGTGTGTGTGTGTGTGTGTGCTTATATATATATAAGCACACGTGTTTTCTTCTGCCTTAGGCTCTAGTTGGCTCAGAAAGTCACCCTTACTTTCCACTCCATCCACACTGGACTCCTCTGAACAAGGTTATTTGTGCCTCTGGTGTTTACATGGACTGTTATTCTCTCCTCAAATGCTCTTCCTTCCCATTTCCACTTCTTCATTCCTGTTCAGCCTTCATGCTGTGATGTAAATGTCATGCTTTTCATTCATTTGTATTCAGACTGGAAGTCTTTGGAGGGTTTTGAGCAGAGTACCATGTATCTTTTATTTACTAATTCATTTGGGAAGTGCTATTGAGCCCCTCCCAAGTGACAGGGGAGGGGTTGCAGGTGCCGGGGATTCATCTCTGAAAAAAAAATTGTTCATCTTGGGCTCCGTGAAGTATCAGTCTAGACAGAGGGATACAACCAAACCAAATAAACAACCAATCAAACAACAAATAAGTGACTACAATGTGAAAGGCAGACGTGTACTTGGGGGAAAGTGAAGGGCACAGAGACCAGGGGTGCTGGGGAGATGGCTTGTGTTTTTTCCGTGCTTTATTTTTTTGTGGTAACTTTACCACCTTAGCCATTTTTAAGTGAATAGTTGTGCAACAGATTTCTAGAACATTTTCGTCTTGCAAAACAAACTCTGTATGTGTCCATCGGACAGCGACTACCCACTTCCCCTGACACTCCTGCCCCTTGAAACCACCATTCTGCTTTCTGCTTCTGTAGGTTTGATGGCTTTCGTAGATACATCACAGAAGTGGAATCGTGCAGTTTTTGTATTTTTGTGACTGGCTTATTTCACTTAGCATAATGTGCTCAAGGTTTATCCATGTTGTAGCCTGTAACAGGATGTCCTTCTTTCCAAGGACTGAATAATATCCTGTTGTATATAATAATGTATATAGCACATTTTCTTTACCCATTCTTCTGCAGATGGATACTAAGTTTGCTTCCACCCCCAGCTATTGTGAATAACGCTGCAATGTACATGGGCATGCAAATATCTTTTTGAGATCCTGCTTTCAATTTGGGGGGATAAACACTCACAAGTGGAATTGCTGGGTCATGGGAGTTTCCATTTTAAATTTTGAGAAACCGCCATACTGTCTTCCACAGTGGCTGCACCATTTGACTTTCCCACCAACAGTGCACAAGGGCTCATTTTTTCCATATCCTTGCCAACACTTGCTATTTTCTATTTTCTATTTTTTTTTTTTTTTTGCTTGTTATAGTGGGCATCATCTCACTCCTCATGGATGTCAGATGATAGCTCACTGTACTTTTGATTTGCATCTCTCTAATGATTAGCAATGGTGAGTGTCTTTGCATAGGCTTGTTAGCCATTGTATATCTTCTTTGGAGAAATGTCTAATTCAAGGTGTTTTTGTTTTTTTTTTTTACCCATTTAAAAAACTGAATTATTTGGGGTTTTTTGTTATTGAATTGTAGGAGTTCTTTATATATCCTGGATATTATCCTGGATAATATCCTGGGTATTTTCAGATATATGATTTGCAAATATTCTCTACCATTCCATAGGTTTGGCCTGTGGTTTGTGTTAGAGATGATTAAGCAAAGACATGAAGGAGGTTCAAGAGTTTGCAATCTATTGTGATCAAAGAGCATGCCGGGCAGAATAAACAGCAGGTGCAAATGCTCAGAAATGGGAGGCAGACCAGTGAATGGAGGACCAGCAGGAAGTCTGTGTAATTAGACAGAGAGAGGCAAGTGCCAAGAAATGGGATATGAGTTTGAAGAAGTCAGGGTGTTTGTAAATCATGTCTGCACATATAGTCCACTGTGGGCGTCTGGAGGCGTTGAAGCAGAAGAAGGACACAATCCAGCTTTCATGTTCACAGATCCCTCTGGCCACTAAGTGCAAAAGAGACTGTGTGTGGCAGGGAAGTTAAAAAGGAGGCTAGAGGAACATTCCCGGCTGGAAATGATGGTGGCTGGAACCAAGATGTCATGAGGGTGGGGCTTGCTTGCATTCCGGATGAAGTCTGAGGTTAAGGCTAAATGGAGTTTGCTAATGGATTGAGGGTGGGATATGAGTGACAGAGGGGGGTCTGGGATGACTCCTAGATTTTTCCTGTGGGCAACCAGAAGAACAGAGGCGCCAATCATCGTGCTTGAGAAGGTTGTAGGAGGAAGAGATTTGGGGGAGTAAAGGAGAAGTTCCGTTTGAATATGTTCTGTGTGAGTTTTGGACGAGGGAATGGGGATTTCAAGTACACCACTGGATCAAAGTCTACAGTTCAAGGGAGAGAATGGGCTGGAGGTATCCGGGGCCCCTCTAATACTTAGGGGTCAGAGAAATGCAAAGCAAGCAGCAAAGAGGCTGCTGATGGACACCTTGCAGTCCAGAAAAGAAGCGCTTTTGTTTAGGGAAGACAAGCAGTTGGATGACCTTTCTGTTGTTGCAAAGTCCAGAAAGGCGGGGACTGAAAGGGGCCCATGTGGCTTTCACTAAGCAGAGGCCTTGGTAACAACGGTGTCAGGAGGTGGTTGTGTGTGTGTGTGTGTGTAACTCTTACTCTGAACAATCAACAAAAACAGGAATCGTTCCGTTGAAGTGTTCTCTCATCAAGGGCGGGGAGCAGCAGAGCATCAAGGGCGGGGACAGCATGCTGCTGTCATGAACCAGCACACATTTAGTGGCTTCCAACAGCATACATTTATCATCTTACAGTTCCAGAGGTCACAAATCCAAGTCCACAAGTTTTCACTGGGTTAAAACCAAGGCGTTGGCAGGCAGGACTGAGTTCCTTCTGGAGGCTCCAGGGGAGAAAGGCATTTTCTTGCTTTTTCCAGGAGCATCTGTATCCCTCCGTTCGTGACCCAGGTCTCTGTCTTCAAGGCCATGAGTATAACATCTTCAAGTCCCTCTCTGCCTCCTTTTAATTGTAAAGATAAAGACCCCTGTGATTACATTGGTCACACCCCAATAATCCAGGGCAAACTCCCCATCTCAATATCCCTAATCTAACTTCATCCTTAAAATCCCTTTTTCCATGTAAGGTAACACATTCATAGGTCCTAGGGGATTAGGGTGTGGGCATCTTTGGGGGGCTATTTTTCTGCCTATGTCGTAGGGACATAATTTCTTTGACTGATTGTCCGTCCACGAAACTGTGAGCTCCCTAAGGACAGGTGCTGCGCTCAAATTGAGGCTTTGTAATTCTCTCTCTCTCTTACCCAGTTCCTGTCCATTATATCATAATTCACCATTAGATACTTACTTGTTTAACTCGCTTCTTGCCTCCTCCCTCGATTAAAGAGTCAGCTGCAAGAGGTCAGTGCCTACATCTCCTGTACTCATTACAGTATATGCAGCACCCAGCTCAGGGCCTCGTACACAGGGGGCCTCAGTAGGACACCAGGCTTTGGGGTCAGAAAGGACTTGGGCTGGATCCTGGTTTCACCGGGGACTTTGAGCACGCTGTTTTCTTGGTTCACCCTCAGTTTTCGTATCGATAAAATGAGGACAGTAATAATATCTTCCTTATGGGGTTGTTGTGGCAAATTAATGAGATTCGCAAGCATCAAATAAAGTGCTATGTATTAAATATTTGAGGAAAGTATGAATGGAGGGAATTCCACAAAAATGTATGTGAGATGAATGGATGAAGGAATTTATGGACTTCTCTCCTGGGTATTCTCTGCCTCACTCTATCCCCCACTGTTTGGTTCTGACTCCCTTTTCTCTTGCTTCACGCAGGGTCTCCTGATTGAAGCCTGGGCAGGCAGCCTTCCCCCAGATGCCGCCACCCCCTCCTTACGGGAGGAAGAAGAGCTCCATTATGCAACACTCAACTTTCACCAGACAGAGACTTGCTGCCCACAGGAACAGGTGGCCCCTAGTATTGAGTACTCAGAGATCAGGATTCACAAATGAGAGACTGCTGAGACCCCGCCCTGGCTTGAGAGATCTTGGCCCCTGAAGGGCAAAGAAAAAGTCAGGAGCCAATTCCTGTAGACTTAGAAGCCCTCCAGGTGATGAGCTGTGAGTACGACAGAAAGAACACAAGCTTTGTAAACAGAGTATTTAGTAAGCATTATATATATGCTAATAGTAATAGTAAGTAAGTAATATATATACATAATAGTAAGTAATAGTAAGTAGTAATAGTAAGTTATATATATACATAATAGTAAGCATATATATATGTAAATATATACATAATGCTTACTATTTTGAATGTCCTATAAGAAATCTATGCATATGCATAAATGTCCTCCTAAATTTTCTTCTGGAGCAATGCTGTCCAACAGGAATATAATATATATATTATTAAACATTTCTGTTCATCAAAAGGCATGATTAAGAAAATGAAAAGACAAGCCATAAACTGGGAGAAAAAAATATATATATCTCTGAAAAGGGGCTTGAACCTAGCATATATAAAGAATTATTACCAGTTAATAACACAATAACCTAACTGTTAAAATGGGGGAAAAGACGCAGCCATATATTTCACAAGAGATCCAAATCGCCAGCAAGTACAGGAAAGCTGGTCAACGCTACTGGACATCAGGGAGACGAAAATCCATCACAATGAGATGCCCTATCACATCGGCTAGAATGGCTAAAATCAAAAAGCCTGAGCACAGATATCCCTATGAGGTCAATGCCAGTATTACACCCATTTTACACATGGCAAACTAAAGCACAAATGGGCTGTCACACTGATGGCCGATACTGCAAGCTTCGTGATACAGAGACCACGTAATGATCACAGAGAGGTTCCATATCGAAAAAGTAAGTGATTTGAAAAAAGAATGTGTCTTCTAAAATCTTCATCATCACCTCGGTCGATACCACCACAGTCATCTTCACTGTGGTCACGGCCACCACTGCCACCATCATTACCATCAAAACCATTGTCACCATGGCATTAACATCACCATCATCTCCATCATGCCTCAATGGTTCTCAATCAAGGCAATTTTGTTCTCCTTGAGACCTTTTCTTTTCTTTTTTAAAGGTTTTTTTTTTCTCTCTTTTTTTTTTATTTAAAATTTTTTTTTAATGTTTATTCATTTTAGAGACAGAGAGAGACAGAGCATGAATGGGGGAAGGTCAGAGAGAGAGGGAGACACAGAATCCGAAGCGGGCTCCAGGCTGCAAGCTGTCAGCACAGAGCCCGACGTGGGGCTCAAACCCACGGACCGCAAGATCATGACTTGAGCCAAAGTCAGATGCTTAGCCTACTGAGCCACCCAGGCACCTCGTTGGGGCCTTTCTAATGCCTAGAGTCATTTTTGGTTGTCTACGCTTAGAGTGATGGAGGTAATTGCTACAGATACCAAGTGGGTAGAGGCCAGCGATGTTGCTAAACATGGTACAGTGTGCAGGATAGCCATATACCCCATCCCCACCTGAAATAATTATCTGGCTCCAAATACTGATAGTGCTGAGGTTGACAAATTCTGGTCTACTCTATACTGAGAATGCTGCTGACTGCTTCATCCTCCCAGGTAAGTTCTAGCCCCCACATTACCCTTCAGGGCAGGCGTTCCCCTTCCCATGCTCCAGGTGGGCTAAGAGGACCTGAGGGGAATGTGATCTACTCATGGCCACCCAGCAGGCTAGAGGCAGAGCTGGGATTTGAACCCAGATCAGAACCTTCCCTCTGCCCAGTCTCCTCCTCTGCATAGTTTACTATCTGTTTCTCCAGCTTCACTTGCTAACTAGTGACTACCATGTACCAGACTCATGCTGGATGCTCGGCACCCACCCCGCTTGTTCTCACAGCTGCCCCTCTAGGTGGGCCTCCATATCCACATCGTAAACACAAAGGAAATGGGCTGAAGTCATTGGGTGAAACCCCATTGGTCTTTGGAGGCATGACCACCTCTACGCTCTCCCTCTTTGCTACTGGCTTCTGGTCCTTGACCTCTCTGTCTGCCCCAGATGATTCCTGACAACCAATTCCTGGCCTGTCCCTTCTCCCTTCTGGCTCTGCCTCCCCTTCTTAGGGCAGTGCTCTTGAGACCCAGTCCCCAGCCAGCACCCCACCCTTGACCCAGGGCAACAGGCACCTGGTGGAGAGGTGGCTGATCAAGATGTAGATCAGGATTCCGCAGAGATAGATGCTGCTAAGGACTGTTATCACGATGAGCCACACCACTTTGGCTCCTGAGATGTAGAAGCCTCTGTTCACAACATGACTGTGCTCTGGAGGAGAGGATACATGGGGGTTAGGAACACCATCACTCAACCCTTCGCTCACTCACACATTCATTCTTCAGAAATTTATCAACATTTGCTGTGTACAAGGCACTGTTCTGGGTGCTAGGGATTCAGCAGTGCACAACAACAACAACAAAAACCCTTCCTGCCCTCATGGGGCTAACATTCCAGCTGGCAAGTGGACAGTTGACAATTAAGCAAAGAGATGTCTAATATCATCGCAGGTGGCAGGAAGTGCTGTGGAAAAGAATAAACCCACTCAAGGTGGTAGAGAGTGACAGGGTCAGAGGTGCTGGTTACACAGGGTCATTAACTCATTGCACAGATATTCACTGAACACCAACTACGTGCCAGGCACCATGTTAAGCACTGGAGGCAAATGGTGAGCCAAGAGTTCTCCCAGGCTCTGTCCTCCTAAAGCTCACGGTCCAGCGGAGTAGAAAGCTATGAATCGGTGCATAATTGTGCACGTTTGTCAGTCATGTCTGGTGCATAGCAGGTGATTAGTAAATAGTGTGGAGAGACCAGAATAAATATCTCCAGCTCACACTGAGTTGTGCGTGTGGCTCGCTCTCTGGGATGAGCCAGACTGATTGCTTCTCATGCACTGTCTGATTTAATTCTGCCAGAATTCTGCCAGAGCCCTGTCATACAGGGACCTTTATTATCTTGACACTACAGATGGGGACGCTGAGGCTCAGAGAGGTGCTCTTCCCATTTACAGATTGATTCCCAAGCCAAGTTCCAGACACCACGTCCACAACAGATCTCTGTTTCCCTTACACCACCACCGCTCCCCCACCCCGCCTCATTTCAAGGCAGTCCAGCAAAACAGGGCACAGGCTGTAAGGTCAGACTGCCAGAATTTGAACTCTGCCTCCTCTGCTGATTGGAGCTGGAACCTTGAATAAAGCACTTAAATTTCCCATAGCTCAGTTTTCTCACCTGTACAATGGAGGTGGTGTTAACAACAGTCACTTGCTCTGAAGGGAGACTGTGAGGGTCACATAGCTAGTAGGGTGCTCAGTAAATGTTGGCTGGCCATATCTCCCTGGAGCTCACCCTTGCTCTGATCTGAGGTCCCTGAGGGCTTCAGAGAGGGGGTAGCTTCAGACTTAGAACTCAGAGGATGGGGGTTTTACCCAACCATCGTGGGCATGGCATTGTAAGGTAGAGATGGCATTTCTGATGACGGGCACTATGGAGGCAAAAGCATGGAAGTGGGAGTTATTTGTGGGGCATGAGCCCCAGAGGGGGGCTGCTGTACTCACCTGATCTATGCACCTGGATCTGAAATTCCCTGTACATGGTCAGCTGAGTCATGGGGTTCTCCACGATGCATCTGTATCTGCCCATCTGCTCCCAGGACAGACTTGGGAGGATGATTTTTGCCCCTGAGAGGCTCACGAGGGAGCCGTTGTGGGTCCAGTGGTACTTGGGACTGGGTCGGGAAATGGCGTTACACTCCATGTGCACTTCGGAGCCGATCTTAGCAGACAAGATGCCATTTAAGATGATGTGACTGGTTCTCAGCTGCACTTTGTCTGGCCCATCTGCAGAGACAAGGCAAAAGTCTCAGAGCTGTGTTTCTGACCCCTCGGGATCCTGTCTCCTTCCCTCAACCTGCATGCAGCCCCCCCTCCCCCGCCGACCAGCAGGTGCCCCCACTCTGCACCCCAAACATCCCCTAGAGCCAACACATGCAAGGCGGCTGTCCCAAAAACAACTATAATTATAATGTTTTCCGTTACCTGCACCTACTGTGAGCCAGCCCTGTGATTGCCCTTCGCATCACAGTAAAACAGGGACAGAGTAGAAACCGTACAACAGGCCCCCTGCAAGCCAGACTCTTTTACAGGCTGACACATTGGCTTCGTTCCCATAACAACCCTTGTGATCAATTTTACAGATGAAAAGAGAGGACTAGGGATTCCGTAGTCCCCTACGGAAGACCCACGAAGGGACAAAGCCAATTCCGCCTATGGCCGGGGAGGAATCTCCCTGAGCAGCTACAGGCCAAGGGTCCTGGCTCTTGGTTGCAAGCCTCTGACCAGTAAGCCATGTACAGAGGTCAGAAGCTATCTGTTCTGTAACCACTTTCTTCACATGATTGCCACAGCATGCTTGTTAGGAAATCTGACGGACTCCACGTGGTTCCGGAGTTAGACGTGAAAACTGTTCAAGATTGGTGCTTTTTCTCAGTTGAGAGATGTGAAACAGTTTGGTCAATGTGAAAGGTCCCAGGCTCATTGTAAGACCCAAGGCTCATTGTATTTATAAGTCAATGTCTTAGGTTTTACAAGACCTGTTTGAGATTTTGGGGAGGTCTGGCGGGGCTGCGTACTTGCCCTGGTGGACGACCAAAGAGGGTCATGCAGAAAAGAGAATGTATGAAATGTGTCATTTAGCTTTAAAATCAAACTGTTTAAGAGAGCAGTTCAATGTGAGTGAAAGGAAAAGTGAAGGCAATTTTGCTAAATTTAGAAAGCCGGAATAAAAAGATCATTGGATGTAAAAGGCTCAAGGGAACCTGGGATTTGAAAATTTAATAAATTGAATGTTTTTAACATTTATTCATTTTTGAGAGACAGAGAGAGGCAGCACGAGCAGGGGACAGACAGAGAGAGAGGGAGACACAGAATCAGAAGCAGGGTCCAGGCTCTGAGCTGTCAGCACAGAGCCCGACGCTGGGCTTGAACTCATGAACTGCGAGATCATGACCTGAGCTGAAGTCAGACACTCAACTGACTGAACCACCCAGGCACCCCATTGAATGTCATTTTCAAGAAACTATTAGTTGTGGGGCACCTGGGTGGCT